CTCATTCCCTGCCACTGCCTCGACCACGTCCGGCGTAATTGGGACCTCGTCCCCTCGCTTCTCTAGAAGGAGCGCCATCAGCTCTTTTCCGTTCCACTCATTCCCTGCCGCTGCCTTGACCACATCCGGCGTGATTTGGACCTCGTCCCCTCGCTTCTCTAGAAGCAGCGCTATCAGCTCTTTTCCATTCCCCTTATTCTCCGCCGCTGCTTTGACCACGTCCGGTGTGATTTGGACCTCGTCCCCTCGCTTCTCCAGAAGGAGCGCCATCAGCTCTTTTCCGTTTCCCTCATTCCATGCCGCTGCCTTGACCACGTCCGGCGTGATCTGGACCTCGTTCCCTCGTTTCTCCAGAAGGAGCGCCATCAGCTCTTTTCCGTTTCCCTTATTCCCTGCCGCTGCCTTGACCACGTCCGGTGTGATCCGGACCTGGTCCCCTCGTTTCTGTAGAAGAAACGCCATGATCTCTCTTCCATTCCACTTATTCCCTGCAATTGTCTCAACCACATCTGGTGGGATCTGTACTCCACCGTCCCCTTCCGCCAGAGGGTCCGCCCAGATCTTCACTTGGTGGTCTCGCTTCAGCCGCAGCGGTTTGGGCTCGAGAACCTCAGCTTCCAACTTCCTGAGCGCCTCCCATGCCTTATCTAACACTCTCCATCGCTCCAGGACCTCCGGCAGCATCTTATGCGCCGCCACGTGCAGTTCTGGTATCAATTCCCTCTCCCGCTGCACTCTCTCCAGCCACCGTTTTACCAGCACTTCTTCCTGCATCTGCTCCTTCACACCATTGCGCACTTTCTCCAGCAATTCCATTTCCCACCGTAGCATCAGTTCCGCACGTGTTCTTAGATCACGCCTTTTCCCAAGGCTCCCCCCCAAAACCTGTCTTTCAGCCATATCTGCAGTGGTGGGCAGGAGTACGCACAGTCCTCCGAAGGAGAACTCTTCGCCCACAGATAAGAGGAATGTTTCCGTTCGGGAATTGACCACATCAAGTTTTCTCACGCGCTTGGTTGAGTGCCACGCCAGCTTCTTTTCGAAATCGTCTACGCTACTGCAGGATGGACTGTCCGGGTTTCGTAACATTGCATAGATCCAGAGCGAATCACCTGGGGGTAATTTCAGTTTCCGATGGAGAGACTCGAGTTGGAGCGTCGTCACTAAAAATGGGTCGCTATGCCCCTTATCGAGAAGGGACACATCGACGAGGTAACCGGCGCCCAGTAACGTCTTCAAACTGCTGATCCGCGCGCCGACGAACTCAATCTCATGTCGTTTCTTGTCCGGGAGAATGATTGGGAAGTTTCCATGGGCGTCATTGATTGGCGTTTGCCTTAAGCCCGACTCCGGAGACGACCAGTCAATCGCCCAAAGGGGGAGACTTTCGATCTTGCGATAACATGCCGCACGTACGAGGATAGCCATGAGGCCGTGGGCCTCACTAAGCTGCACCGCGATCCTGCTATACGTTCCCTCGGTTTCTTCCTTGTAGTCTGCGACGTAGCCGAGACTTTCGGCGCAATTGATCATGCCAAAGACTGCGAAGACTTTATCTCGCGGATCTTTTGCATCGCTATTTCTAGCCAGGTCGAGGAGTTCAAGAAGTTGTGATGGTTCCCGGTATCTTGGTTTATCGAACTCGATTAACTGAGGTAAGGATCCAAGATCGTCGAATAAGTTCAGGATCAGACGTCGAAGGCGCCCCCACGGCATCTCAAATGCACCGCATATCACCGTCGCCTCCTTCGCTAGACTGACCTCCTGTAAGATCCAAATTCGGGAGAAGTACCGACGGCTGAGGAGAGAACAGAGGGCACGTCTCGCGATCGCCGATAAAGTAGGCTCGTCGCAAAGCTTAAGGTCGTCCTGGTTAAAACGTAGTCTGTCGCTGATGTATGAAACGCTCTCGTACTCCACGTTCGTTGGTTCTCCTAGGTAAATGAGCACCCGCCGCGCTCCCGCATAGATTTCTGGCATGAGCTGGACCTGATGGCCCCGCTCCTGCTGATCTTCTTGATTGATGCACACGGCATCAATCCAAATTGTCCTCGCTCGCTCAGGTAGGCGGACCCGCCTTAGGGCCGCCTCACAGTTGACCGTAACGCGCAAAGGCGAATTGTTGAGATAGATCTCTCTGCTCTTAGTGGCGTCACCGAACTCGTCTGCCCAGGTATAGGAGATTGCCTCATATGTGGGTCGGTTCTCCAGCTTGCATGGAATCAGCCAACAATGGACAACGTCGCCGAAGTTGCCCGCTTTGACCGACAACAGCCGCAGCTCCGTCTTCTGTCGTATGGGTTTGAACCACCGAGTGGCCTCGCCATGAGCAGCTGGGTCCACGTCTGCAGAATAGCAGGTCAAGCACCTCCGGATACCGCCAGAGGAGTGGAGTTCGAGAAAGTTGCAGAGCGGATTGTGCCATGTGCCCCCTTCTTCTTCGCTTTCGGTCCGGGTCGTCTGTTCCTCTTCGTCTTCAGTCCAGGTCTCTTGCTCCTCCTCAGGGAAGGGATCTTGGTCCCTTTGCTGGAAGAATTCATCGGCCGATGAGTAACCCATTGTTCGGTTATCTATCGGCGGATTGATTTGGGTGTCGGGGAGATGCCGGTGAGCAGCTTAAAAAGATACGGCTGTGTTGAGACTGCCGTCAAATTTTTACGCGGTTTCCCAGGCTTCACGCCTGCTTTGACTGGTTCGTTTGTCCTGATGCACCGCAGTCTGCCTCGAGTCCTTGCTTATGTGGGCGGTTGTGATGCCCCTCTGCAAATCTGCCTTCCCGCTCTTCGTGTGCGCTGGAGGAGGCCGTGCATTCCAATGCTGCATGCATGGCGCCTTGGACGGACAGCTGGCCCCGTGGCTGCGTCCGGTGGCGCTTCGCCACCTCCATGCAGAGCGCTTGGCGGGATTGACGGCTGCTTACGCCCTGCTGACAGAACGGACCTCACGGGCAATATTTGCTACGACGCTTTTGGCCGTCCCATCAGCCGCCTTTTAGGCAATGATATCTCCAACTTGCCGAGTGGATGGTCGATCTGAATCCCTTGCAGCACAAGCGCCGTAGGGTCAACACTGTGACTGTTGCAACCGGCGGCGGAACGGCCTCCTCAGTAGCCGATGGATTGCGCTCCGTTCGGCTGCCCGGGCGAGTTTTTGTGATGCCTAATCAGACAGGGAGACGGCCCCACCGTGACATTGACACTGGCAGCGTTGCGGTGGGGGCAGCTCACTAAATACGGCCAATGGGGGCTGACCTTACTCCGTGCATTTCCTACGGTGTGTGGGTCAGAGGACGCAGGCGGTGAGAAGACTGCAATTGATCTCGGCGTTTACGAGTCGCATGCTTTTGCAGCAACCCGACCGACCAACCTGCAAAAGGTGCACAAGCTTTCTTGTTCAGAGGGCACACGGTGTTGGGCTGAGGTGGCGCTTGCAGTCCCCACCACTCCTCGTTCTGCTTAACGCCCCTCTGCCCCATATTGCGCTCGGACGACCTCGCTTGAGCAACGCCAGGTGCAAAATGATCGAAGGCTGTTGAACTGAGTGGGTTCCTTGGCACCAAGATTCAGGGGCTGAGCACTGATGTTCAATGCGAGACTCTCAGTCAACACAGATCCATCACAATGACGGCTGGTTGACGGACTTGGAGACTCTCGGTCAAGATGGGCTTATCATTATGAAGCAGTTCCTGACATAAACGTCATATCATGGCACACTGTCTCTATATAAGGGGGTAATTCCCCTGGGAGGATTAGAGAGGACAATTTTTCAAAAAAAGAAAAAGGGACATTCTGAGGCGCCCTAACCCACTATCTTGATCCTTCATTTGTGTGGTCACTCTGGAATCGTGACTCCAATTCGGCTTCATTTCATACCTCAATCTACTCAATACCACTTGGTTGGTCTGGGCTTACTCGGGCATGTAACTGTTGGCTGCCCAACAACGGCCAAAGTCATCTTCTTATTATTGCCTATCAACAAGCCGCACTTTACCCTTGTCGTTCTGGGAAATCATCGCTACGCTCGGCATAGCCGCCTTTCTCCGAGCAAAGAAAGCTTATCTCACAGTCAAGCCACCTTTTAACTTTCCCGCGGAGGTTTAGAAAGCTTAGACTAGATATCTTCTCATACTTCTTCACCTCACGTGTCATTTGGGTTTTAAAAGCCTTCCGAGCCCGTTTACCACCCCCCCTCCTTTTCGAGTACTCTATCCCAGTCGAAAATCCATGAATACCAAGCGTCCTTGAGCTTCTTTAAGGTGGAGAGCTCCGAAATCACGTTGTGGTCAACCGACCAGTCATTTCCTCTGAACTGAATCGTTTGGAGAGACTGTAGCTTCGCAATCGCCTCGATCAATGACATTGGTATCGATCCGACAAACTTGAAGTCTAGGGACGAAAGGTTTCGCGGAAGTATTTCGACGCTTAACCTGAATACAACTGTTATTGGATTGTCCGCCTATCCCGCTGTGACAAGGATAGCCGAATGCCTAAGTGGGTATTCGTTGCTGGTAACCGTAGTAAACCAGGCACTGACTTGCGTAGTTGAGCCGGCTAGTCAGTACTATTTATCCGCGAACCTGTAACGGTCTCAGGTAGTATATTGCAACTAGCTGATGACGACTCTACGAGTACACTGAACTTGGGGAAGGAAAGAAGAGATGTGAGACTCTGGTAGCTCGAGAGCCAATTTATCCTCACAGGTGTGCGCTGCTAGAAGGTTCGACACTGTGGGTCGAGTGGGAATTGCTTCATCCAGGGGGTTTGGTGGACCGTGCTTATACAAGAGCTGGCCGAGGGTCATCGAGGCCCATCTCGGACCCAGCCCGTTACATTACCCCCCTCCTCCCCTTCTTCATGGGGAGTTGTCAGTCTCTGACCGTGAGCTTCCTCTAACCTGACCAGGAGGGCTTCCCATGTCGGCTGCGATAGCCCGTCCATTTGACGAGGAGCTGTTTGCCTCTCCCCTTTTCCCTGACCTTGAGGATCTCGTCCACTAGGTATGCTTTGGCCTTTTCTCGAGCTACCAGTGTCTCACATCTCTTCTTTCCTTCCCCAAGTTCAGTGTACTCGTACGAAGGTAGGGAGCTGAAATAACAGCAGTGGGTCCGGTACTGACAGGGGTGTCTCGCTTGTACCTCCTTTCCCTCTCCCAACATTGCAACCCAGGTAGTCCGGTTCATACTTCAGTTACTTCAATATCTAGTACAGAGCTCATTTGCCGCGATAACTGCCTGAACGCGATTGGGCATACTCTGAACTAATTCCAAGAGCCAGTCTTCAGGGACCTTTTCCCATGCCTCTTTTACAGCAACACGAAGTTGATCATACGACATCTTTTCAAGTTTCTCCAAATAGTCCTTCATCCAGTGACTTGACAACAAGCCCTGCCAGTACCGGACCCACTGCTGTTATTTCAGCCCCCTACTACGGCGGTGCTCTGCTCAAACTCTGACAAAACCCAAAATTTCACTTCCCTCACCCCGGCCGTAAATTTTTCAATATCCTCACTCTGCATACCCCCGTTTCCTTGATTTTCCATCACTCAACCCGAATCTTCTCTTCGCAACGCCACAGCTTCCCAGCCACAACCCTTCCTCACGCACAGACCTACCAAATCGCACTTGTTCAGGTCGCTGATACCTTTCCTGGTTTCACAAAAGCAGCGTACACTGTAGCCTTATACCAATCAACATCTTGAACTCCAGATTTACCACACTCATATTGCTGCTGTCACACTCAATTTTTTTGCCGTCGTGGCGCTTGCTTTTGTCCAAGTTCATCAACAGGCGAACAAAATGGAGCTCAAGCAGGTTGACCAGGAAAAATTGAAAACTGCCCTCGAGTTAACAAGCGGCAAGATATATCAGATATTCAACTCGAGGACGGATAACAGGAGCCGACCGCGAGCCTTTGGGCCGCAGGAGCCCACAGCGGTAGAAAAAGCCGCCAACACAATTGCAGTTTGGACGGGAGGGACTGCCGACACGGACAGAGTAATGGAGGAGGCCTGGAGAGAGAGGTGGCTCAAGGAACGAGACGGCCGGACAGCAAACGAGGCCCGCAGATGACTTTGACCACCAGCACGATACTCCGTTCCAAGACAAAACCCTAAGGAGACACGACGGCCTCAGCAGAGCGAAGAGTTCACTGTTGATCCAGATTCGAACCGGGGCCATAGGCCTTCGGGCTTTCTTATTCGAAAGGAGAGTCCCAGAGGTACTGACGCCTATATGCGAGTGTGGAGAGGGGCGAGAGACTGTCGAACACCTTGTGATGTGGTGCTTGGCCCCACCGTTGACTCGAAGATGGGAGAGAGCCGAGATCAGAACGCGAAGGGACTTTTATTCTGTCCTACAGGCAATCAGTCCCAAAGCTGCACGGCTAACGGGGAGGATCCTGGACTGGCTGATGGACTCGGGGAAACTGCCGATGTACGGTCTGGCCAGGAGGCTGGAGCTGGAGCTCGCAGTCTGATACCTTTCCTTCGAAGGCCAAGAGGCCTTCCCACTTTGTATTTGCAGGATCGCACTACTGATCGTTTCCTTGATTGTCGATATGGGTTTTTCACCCGGCCCACGAGGGCGCGGTTTTCCTGTATAGTAAGTTGTTGAAGGTCCGGCACGCCCTAGGGCACAGCGGTGTAGGAATAATAATAATATACAGTGGCAAGGCGAGGGAGCCTCTCATTCTACTGGAAGGGAAAGCACCATCGGATCTAAAGATATGGTCGCCAGACATGAAAGCAGTCCGGGCAACGATCAAGTACGCAATGGCGACAGGGAGATTAGATCTTGACGAGGAAGGACGGAGATTGGATCCATTCATAGTAGAGGAACTCCACTAAACACCACACAGCCTCAGCCAGCAGATCCTGCTTTAGCTGCTAAAGATAGGACGCTGAACGCTTGGAGAACGCAGCCTCCAAGTCGATCTGCTAAAACCCAAGTCAAGCGGCAATAGTTAGTGGCGTGAGACAGGGGAAACGAGTAGAGGGCTTGTACGAGTTGATGACCGAACGTCAACGAATCGGATGTACAGTAGTTAGCGTGCCAAGGCCCTTTAGGCTTCGTGCCTTCGGGCGAAATGAATTCCATCCATCCATCAAAAAAGAGTAAATCACCAGGTTCAGATTCACGTTTTCGGGCTGCCCACAGTGGCGACAGCTTCTTGTCTTCGTTGCTGTTCAAAGGGGATGTTTTTTGCCCTCATAGCTACCAGTTCTGGAACCTTTTTGATCAGACAGGGAACTTTTATTGGCAAAAAGGCCAGTATTTCGCCGGACGAGATCCTGCTCTCGTTCCAGACCGTGGCCGGTTCTATAACGACGACAAACCACAGCCAATGAAGTCTGGAAGGCGTAGTCTATTCCGCCTTGATTATGCTACCGAGTTCTCTAGACACGTTTTACGAGTCCATTTGCAATAGAAATTTTGTGGTGACACCGAGCCAAGAGCCAAGCGCTTCCAAGCGCTTGCGCCTCTCTCACCGCGTCTTCGTCTACCACAGTACATCCGAGACGACTGTAAATCCCTTTCGGGGTTGGACGTCTAGCATCGCCAATGAGCCAAACTTCAAGTGTGCAGCAGCCCCACAAGATCCCACGAGACTCAGCCTCCCAACTTGCGCGGCCCAAACCACCTGTTTGGGAAGCGCAGTGCTCTTCCAGCTAGCCTTTCAGAGTACACGGTGACTCGTAGTCTCTGAAACTGGAGATGGACGACTGCTTAGGTCCCGAGCCGTATCCCCGGGCTGACGTGATATTTCTCGGACTTAGGAGTCTTGCAACTCCGTCAACAGCTTGTTGCGATTCGAGAGGTATCTGGTCTGGAAGTCTTGATGCAAGGAGCCGATGCGATGATGAGCATAAAGACTCGCATATCTGCCACCTTGTAGCGCACATCACTTCCATCAGCAGTTCTTTCCTCAAGGCAGCAGGCTTCCGTTCTTCAATCTGCGACTTACGCTACCCCCCAGTTCAGCAATCCCTTTACCCACAATGGAGCTCACCATCTTTGTCGTTGGCCTCCTTGCGGGCGTGGTTTCAGCCAGAGAATTCACCTTGTATGAACACTCCAACTTTGGGGGCGCAACCCACCGGGAGACCCGTCCAAACGATGACAGATGCTGTGCGTATCCCCCTTGCATATACTGATAACAACGGGTTGGATACTCATGAGGTCTAGGGAATATGAACGGCGCTGGTGACCGAGCAAGCTCAGTGCGAGGTGGCGGATGCACCACCTTCTACCGGTAAGTGAATGGCTCATAGTATCTCCATCATGTACTTTACTAACATTGGGAACTAAACAGAGAGCGAGACTGCCGCGGCCACAGCTGGCCAAACTACGGTGACGCCCCCACGGTTCCAGGCGCGCTGAATGACCACATCTGGTCCTTCCGCAACCGGTGCCAAGGCTGCCCTGACCCTTTTGACACGTGTCAGTACACAGCCGAGGACGGTCAGTGTGTCTTTGGATATGCGGCTTGCCTGCAAAAGATGGGCTGCGGCGGCCGTGCCGGGGAGGCTGATTGTATTGGGACTGCGACAGGTACGATTCCTCTCATCGACTTGAACCGTTTTGTCCTTCTTCCGGCTAAGTCTGAGAACCCAGGTTGCGCTATTGCCTGTGGGTGATCTTAGCATCTGGACTACACAGATGCTGTGCGTCCTGTATGACAAAGTGAATACGCCTGGTATGGACTGTGAGCTTGGGGATGCATGGCAGCTAGTGGCGGTGCGGTTGATGAATGAGGGAGGTCAAGGAGGGTAAGCTGGCTCAAGCAAAGAACAACGCGAAACATTCAGTCCAAATTGAGCACAGCAAACAAGAAACCCCCGGCTATGCAACGTGAATGAGTGAATGGCAACCACAGAGCCAACTTGAAAATTCCGAGATATTCGAATGAACGAGATAACATATATTATCAGTGAGTGGCCCATATTGGTGAATGGTCCACCTTCAACAGTTTTGAGTAAGGCTGCAATGAGATGTTATTGCTCTTAAACAAATTCATTCCGAATTTTTAAGTACGGCCCTGCTAAACTTGCTAAGGAGGGCCACTCACTCATATAAGCCACTCAGTGATATAAGCCACTCACTGATATGGGCCACTCACTGATATGGGCTACTCATGGATAATATACTGTACATAAAGACATCGGGAAACCGCATATGCAAAGCACATTACCTTGACGATTCCAGCAGACAGGAACATCACGACAATGCCCGAAAATCCAAGATATTATACCACGATAGGTATATTCCGTCTTTCGAGACACTCTAGCATAGCAAACTACAGCAGAAACCAGTGAGGAACTCACAGCTGAAAACCTAAGCCACACTCTCTTTGAATGGACGACGAGAGAGGAAGCCCAAACTGTTGAACTGAGTGGGTTCCTTGGCACCAAATTCACGGACTGAGCACTGATGTTCAATGCGAGACTCTCAGTCAACACAGATCCATCACAATGACGGCTGGTTGACGGACTTGGAGACTCTCGGTCAAGATGGGCTTATCATTATGAAGCAGTTCCTGACATAAACGTCATATCATGGCATACTGTCTCTATATAAGGGGGTAATTCCCCTGGGAGGATTAGAGAGGACAATTTAGTTCCAAAAAAGAAAGGGACGTTCTAAGGCACCCTAACCCACTATCTTGATCCTTCATTGTGTGGTCACTCTGGAATCGTGACTCCAATTCAAGCTTCATTTCATCAACTTATTCAATACCACTTGGTTGGTCTAAGCTTACTCGAGCATGTAACTGTTGGCTGCCCAACGCAAACCGGACCAAGCCAGAACCAAACTTGTCTATTTCGGCGCGCTCAAACATTCTTTCTATGATCCTCCGCCATCCTCGTTTCTGTTTCTCCATCTCATTATTAGCAGTTCCTCTCAAGATAGAGCAAACTCAGTAAGGTCAAAGGTTAGGCCGGAAGGGGTGAAACTAACAAAGCAACGATAATAGGGAAAACAGACTTGCAAGCCTCCCTCACCCACTTACAACCGGCCTTCGCCCTGTCCCAAATGAAACAACGCCATGCTCTGTGCGACGGCTTCATGGCGCCCACCCTCGACAACAAGCCAAAATCCACGAACAACGCCTCAGCCCTGTGCAAGAGAGGCATGTCGTCGACTGGTGCCTCGATGAAGAAAAGTCTGCAAGGGCTCCTAGCCGTAGCCAGGTGGTGAGTTTTGCGTAGGCCATCTTGGCTGAAGGAGGTGATCATCAGCCCCTGGGTGCCAGATGGATCGACCGCTTTCTACGCCGCCACGATGCTGTCAAAACTAAGAAATCAGCTCTGTTGGAAGCTCTCGTACGAAAGGCTCTACACGGGACGCTTACAAAGATTTCTGCGAGAGGCTGGAGTTGTCACGGGATTCCCCGTTCCTGGTCTAATAGTTATGTCATATGCTTGCGGTTATGCATACGTCCTGGGGTCTGATCATACGTCTATGGTCAAAGAACTACTGCCGGCAAGCTACCAAGGCCCTATCAAGCTTCACAGCATCGGCTGCCGTGAACAAGCGACGGTTCCTCTATTGCTATAGGGATGCATCTAGGCTTGGAATGTCTGCTAGGAATATCATCTCTAGGTTTAGGAACACCGGTATTTGGCCGCTGGAACCATCCAAATTGCTGGAAGACCCCGAGGCAGTCCTGAAAATTCAGGCTCTTCTTGCACGGCTGGAAACACCACCCCCTAAGCCTACGACTGAGTTCTGGACACCTCAATAGAGCCAGGACATCTATACGCACCAGCGAGGTGTAAAGGAGGGCATGGAAGCTAGTGGACGGTTGACAAGGACTCTGTTGGCCAAGCCAGGCAAGGCCCTAGATGTAAGAACGCCGAGATTACATCTGTAATGGTCCCAGGAGTATATTGCAACTAGCTGGTGACGACTCTACGAGTTTGCCTCGAATGGAGAGAGAAGAAGAAAAGAGATAACTAGATGACAGGAAGAGAGGGCAGCTCTTATATGCTCCGGAACACACGGACACTGCCTGCTTCAGGATGACGTTATGATGATACCACGGCCGAGGGTTGCCGAGGCCATCATGGGCTCAGCCCATCACAACATCTTTGAAAGGCCACGTTGACCACTTGACGAAGGAATTCGAGGCTTACGAGCCACAGGGCCGTAAGAAGCTAAAAGAGAACGCCAATAACAAATTTGCAATGATTGAGGATATTATCCAGGCAAAGGAGGATCCAATGATGTCCCCTACGAAGAAAAGGAGGAAGACGCGACAGAACAGCCAGGCAGTCGAGGAGGCCGAGCAGATAATTGGTGTAGCTCAGAGACTATTTGCCGGGCCGAAGAGGAGTAGAATCATCAGATTCGTGTATAGATTGCTTGTAAATTGGATGAGCTAGATGTCTTTTATCCTGGTGGTGATGAGGTGTCAGAATTCCATTGTGGGGTCGATTCCGTTGTTGGTGTCCAGACGTCTGGGAGCCGCACGCCAATCAGCTAGGTGCGGATTGGGGTATGCTATCTTGGTTCGTTTGGCGCCGTGGCGAGAGGACAGGATCGGAAAGAGAGGGAGGCCAGCTGGTGTGTTCCGTCTATGGGATCACTGGCCTGAGAGGTCGTGGATAGGCTAAGGTGAGGGTATAGATGTGTTGTGATTCTCTACCGGTGCTAAAGCGGACTGTCGCCAGGGTTGATGATTCGATGGGCTGGAGATATGCCTCACGTCCGAAAGATGCGGGTGCTGCTACCTGGATTAGGGCTCGAGTCACAACCCGAATCATATGGGTCAAACAAGCAGAAACTGGCATGCACTCCAGGGTTTAGTGTGTGAGGAGAATCAGTTACCAGGTAGGTAATGTCCTGTGTTCTGGGCTATGCTCTTTCAGGCCAGCGACCAAGGTAAGGCTACCTAGTACCCAGAACCGACGACACACCTAAGAAAGCTACATGGTACTCCCCATCTCGAACCAGGTCGGTCGCTCCCTCTTAGCCACTCACCGTCAACCTCTTAAGTGTGATAGATGCCCCACTCGACCTCAGTCCAGTCCCCCAACGGCCGCTCACAATGCATCACGCCCTTGGCGCCAACCTTGTCGAACCACTGGAAGCGGGCGATCGAGTCGCGGATGAGGTCGCGGACGTCCCCGTTGCCAATCTCGGCGGGGCTATACATGGGCGAGACGCCAAAGGCGCAGGTGCCGTAGGTGGCGATGGTGCGCTGCGACGTCCAGACAGTCCAGGTGCCGTCGCCGGCGATGTTGTCGTGCAGGCGCCAGCAGTCGGCGACGAGCGGCGAGCCGCCCGATGACTGGTTGATGAAGGTCGAGTCGCCGCAGTCGTTGATGGCGGCGATGGCGAAGCGGTTGGCGCCGCCCGAGGTGTTGGTGCTGCTGTTGGTGGTTTTGTGCGGGCTCGGAGTCCAGACCACGCCCGACTCAGGAATCGACTTGGGAGTCGTGACGGACTCAGTGGGAGCAGCGCTGGCGGGGGTCATGATGCTGGCGAGGGCGGCCAGGACGACACCGGGGCCCGTGAACTTCATGGTGAGCCGTTTGAGGATCGCGGACTTTGAGAGAAGGTGGAAGACGGGTAGGTGAGAAGATACGAGTCGGTGCTGGCTCTCGATCTACTGAGGTTCGGGTAGTTCGACGGGGAGGGATGATGCTCTTTTTATACACAGTCTCAGCTGTCTTGAATCCGACTACCTCGGCATAGGAGGCACCATGGATGCCTGGCTACTACTTCCCTGGCCATATCCACGTTCAACACCACATCGTTGACCCTGCGCGCAGTCGAAACCCCAAAAAAAACAAGTGTTTGGGGATTCGGGAAGTCGGTTCACTGTCAGCAATATTGTCTGCATGGAGCGAGTGCAGCCTCGCCTCAATATCACGCTGACATCCTGCCGGGGCCGTTTTGCTGATTGGAGAAGGAATTAATTAATTACAAGGCACGGGCGTCCCGCCTGATGTAGCGTCGGTATTACCGCAGTATATCTCTCTAAATGAGCCTGAGCTAGAAGAACCATCCGACGGACCACGTGAGCAATTCGTATGTTACTCAAAGAGTCGTTGGTTAGGGCAATAAGTCATCAAGACGGAGCAGAATTATCACGTCTCTGGCGGTGGCCAAGGTAGGTACAGCACGCGCCGGCAGCATTGGATCGTAATATTGTCAGGTTGGTGCCTGGTTCATCCAGCATAATAGCGGATGTTATGAGAACAATACTACCTCGACGGCGGGGACATAAAGAGATTCTGGTACCCTACCATTTCGGCCCCACAACTAATGTACCTATCGTGCCATGTCAGCAGCGCCGCTTGTTTATTGCAACCTTGAAACGCAGGATCGCGGGCCGCCGCCCCCCAACCAACCTCAAGTCACTTCGTTGCCAATACCAATAGCACATGTCTAGCGTTATTAGTTGCCTCTGCTAACTGTGTACAGAAGCTTGACTTGACGGGGTGACTTGTGCGCCCACGAATCCATCAGCCATGGTCCATGTTGATTTATTGGCATCGTGCCACGCGCCGGCGTCGACAAAGTACTCTGCCCGCAAATCTCGTCTGAACAAGCCACCCGAGAGATTCATGTTCGCAGTCGCTTCGATGCCATCAGCAAGGGTCACTCTCAAGCGCTCCGCAACCTGCCCCTCTCATGAGGTAGGAATTGGCCCCCTAGTTGTCTGCTTAATGCAGTCATCATAGGCGGATTCACTCCTCCGACGACGGCCCGGCCAGTTCTTGAGTCTGCTGGATTGGCGACAGTTACAGGCTTGAATAACGTAGGCAAGGTTCATTGGCAGCTCTGGTATCAATTGAAGCAGCGTTCCGAATGAATCAAATCAAACCAAATCAGACTCAGATTTGATTTGATCTGAGCGGGCAGGGGTGAGATTTGCGATAATTTGAGTTTGATTTGAATACAGTCAAATCTATTGAAACTGTTAGAACACAAGTGGCGCCTTGCCATCGCGATTTCCAGTCAAGCAACCTCCCTGCTTCAAAACACCCGTTTTGACAGCCAATACTTCAAACAAACGAGCTGCTCAATTGTCTGGTCCATCAATCGACACCTTTGTGTCGATATCGTCAACTTCGATTGGCTGAATACTGTCTCAACCTCACAAGAAGTGGCCGGTATTGATCGGATATCGAACGCCATTCTTGCCAGCTTTGGCAACGAAGTCTGGTGCCGCCGCCACCATTCTAGGGGGTCCTTCACAGGTAACAACGGCAAAGAGAAGTATTCAGTAATCTCATCCTTTAGGAGGAGATCCTCAGGCTTATCGTAGAAGTCTTCGTCGATGAGGTAGTTCGGTCGAGTCTGAACAGACTGTTGGGGGAATGGAGAGCCCTGCTCGTTGTAATCATCGTAGGAATTGCGATGTCGTCGACGTAAATACT